AATTAACATGCTGTATTTTCCAGAAGAAACAACAATCAAAGTAGCAGAGTATGGGGTAGCAACTTCTTTAACCATATTTTATTACTTTATGACCAAAGGCACTTTTTCAGGTTATCGTAATGGTCTTTTGTGAGAAGCACTGACTTTTACACTCGACGGCTTACTTTGACATTTAGACATATCGTTATGTACGGAGGTATACTGAATTGATATTAGACTAGAAAACCTTACTAGTGGTCATAGGTATGGTGTGAGGGGCACTTGCATACGATGGCCGACAGCGGCCGCCACTTTCTGATTAAGAATATTGTCATTTTGTACAGCGTTTTTGTCAATTTTCGTTGACATATTACAACCAAACTGGTAATGCTATATGTACATGTACACTTTTTACACTGACAATTTACACCAGCGAAAAACATTAAAATTCTTTCGTGAAATATATGGAGATAACGAACAGTATTCAAGCTCAAAAAGCCATTATACAATACAAAATAGGAGCAGAGCATACACGGACCTCCAAACACCAGAGGTGGGATCAGGTGCCATGGAGGAGTGAGCATCCCCTGCCGACCGGTCACACCCGCCGTGTGCTCCTTGTCATGATGGGGAAATAACGGGAAAATCCATCGACAATTCAGTGTGTAAATAATGGCCTAACAATTAGTATGAAAAACGTCAGTCAGCATTTGACTTAATGATAAATTGTATTTGCTGACAAGGTCATTGTATCGACCATAGAACTTACGAAATGATGACTTTAAACGAGACAGCTGATATTCTTGTTTCATCAACTTATTTGTCAATAATTTACCTCGTTTTAGAAATTGTACATACGTAGAGCATGCTCTTGCGTATCGAATCAACTGAGAGATATATACCCCGTATGCAGGTGATGAAGGTATATTGCTGCATAAGTAAGGGAAGTTGACGATTGAAAAGTTAAAGTTATCACGTTTATCATAAAGCTTGGTTGTTAGATTACCATTAACGTCTTTTTCAAGTAAAATATCCATATATGAAACAGATGTGTCAGACTCTGTGGTATCTTTTATCTCAAGTTCACCAGGATATATCGTATCGACATAAGAATGAAAATAGCCATTGTTAATTGACAGTACGTCGTCGATATATCTAAATGTCGAGTTGAACGCCACAGCAAGTGTTTTCTTCTTTTCACGTACAAGATTTTGGACAAATTCTGCTTCATATGAATACAAAAAAGGTCTGCTAATAACGGGGCGCAATTGGTACCCATAGGTATTCCAATAGATTGTTGGAAGACCTGGTCTCCAAAAACCACAAAGATATTGTCAATCAGAAACTCAAGCATCTTTTTAATGTCAACTTCAGAGTACTTGTGTGTACAATCAGAATGTTTTTTAACAAAATAATTTTGCAAATGACCAATGACAAGGTAAGTATATTTACGAGTTCCATTTTTATTGAAAAAGCAGTTGTCAATGATATCATAAAGCCTGGACTTTAATTTATCGTGGGGAATGGTTGTGTATAAAGTTGAAAAGTCGTAAGTTTTTAAGCTGTTGATTTTGGTAAAATCTTGTGAATTCAAATTTTCCAAAAGTTCCTTGGAATTTTTAAGTATCCACATCTGATTTACACCACTTCTCGAATATATTGTTGTACAGTACTCTTGAAGTTTCTCCTTCACCACTGTTAATATCTTAGTGAGGAGTAAAATTTGAGGATTGGTTGAACATTTACTGGAACCCGCTATGTATCTTTGTTTGTAAGGATTTTTATGAAGTTTCGGAATCCAATATAAATATGGTAATTCGAATTCATTTTGGTTGTTTGGAATATTAAAAATATTCAAAACTGACATATGATTTTGAAGAATTTCTTCCTTAGAAAGGGAACTATGAGTGTAAGTTGGATTACCACTTGTAGAATTAAATCCAAGTTCTTCTAAAATACATTTAATATAATAAGCCTTACAAACAAAGACAATGTTGTTACCTGCTTTGTCAGCAGGGACCAGTACGTACTGATCATGTAATCTATTCTTTTTTCACTTCTGGATTATTGAATACAGAAGGATAGATAGTTTTCATATTGCCTCTCAATCTTTTAATGCGCGATTTTAACAAACATCTGATACATTTAATCCATTCTGACAAAGTGTCAAGGTCTTCTTTTTCATGTCTGGCCCATCGCCTGGCGTAGTCCTCTACAGAATCCATAATATTTACGAAATTCTTACGCCAGTTGAAGGATCTGGGTTCCCTAAATTTAGGACCTTTTAAAATTAGTGATCTAAGATCCTCATTATTAACTATATTTACGTCACCAGTAATAACGTGTCCAGCAGGACTATAGTTATAGGGCGAAGAAGAACATGAACACGATGGAGGATTATGTTTCAGATATTCGATATCCAGGCCCTGTAAAGTTTTCTTGTGATGTGTGATATGATGATATGAAATGAAGATACATAAAACAGGTGGCTTGAAAGAGATAAGGAGCATTAAATGATTTTCACCCTCAATTAGTCTGAGATATCGTAACCCAGTTAATCCTAGATTAGACGTAAATCGTCATTCTGTCACTTTGTTGTATCATTAAAAAGATATTCTTGGGATTGTAATTAAAAAGGCGAATAAAAGTAATACGTTTGTTGTAATGGATATACATGAATATAATGGATAAATCTCGATCCTCAAAGTGTATGAGACAACTCGATTCTACTATTATGTAGAGGTAGAAAAATAGGATTTAGTAGCTCTACATGTGAGCATCCAATCAAAAGTTTATGGAATGTATCAAAAACAAAACTTTAGATACGGAAATATACCCGTTTTTAAGCAAGAATAAAATGACAACCTTAAATAAGGGAGTCTGTATTTGCTCTCTAAATACATAAAATTAATAACTACCAAAAATCAGCTCAATATCTACAAGCGTTTAGAAGAAAATTGCGGAAAACCCTTAAAAATTGAAAAGGCCGTAATTCCGTCAAAAATCAATGAAGCGGAACGAAATGCAAACTTGATCTGTAACTCATCAAGGTACACTCACATACCAAAAATCAGCTCAATATCTGCAAGCGTTTAAGAAAAAAGTGCGGAAAACCAAGTGGGACAGATTGACAGACAGCCAGAGATAGAGACAGACAGACAGAGGGACAGACAGACAGACAGAGGGACAGACAGACGGACCGACAGACTCAGAGGAAACCTATAGTCCCCTCCGGTTTCACCGGTAGGGGACTAATAACTAAATGCTTGAAACACTTTTAAAGGCCAACGCAACCTCTCAAGACTTCCACCTGGTCGGCCAATTATTTTTAGTCCAATACCGGTGAAACCGGAGGGGACTATAGGTTTCCTCTGAGTCTGTCCGTCCGTCTTTCTGTCCCTCTGTCTGTCTGTCAGTCTGTCCCACTTGGTTTTCCGCATTTTTTTCCTAAACGCTTGCAGATATTGAGCTGATTTTTGGTATGTGAGTGTATCTTGATGAGTTAAAGATCAGGTTTGCATTTCGTTCCGCTTCATTGAATTTTGACGGAATTACGGCCTTTTCAATTTTTAGGGGTTTTCCGCAATTTTCTTCTTAACGCTTTCAGATATTGAGCTGATTTTTGGTATGTGACTTAACTTTGATTAGTTATAGATCAAGTTTGCATTTCGTCCCGCTTTATTGATTTTTGACGGAATTATGGCGTTTTCAATTCTTAACGGGAACCAGATTACACTTGTCGGTAGGGGACTAGTATTGCTAATGCAATACTGTTCAATGTGGCACGGGAATGAAAATATAGGTACATGTAACTAATGTGATCATTTCCTCGTGCGTATTGTTTAAAAAACAAAATTCATACATCAAAGACACGTCCGATTATGAACAAAATCAAATTTCTGATAGACCTGGAAAATTTCATCCTGGTTACCTATGATGTGACCAGCAGGTACACCAACATGGAATTTTATGAATTAATTACTACAATCTGTCGAGAAAGCATATCTAGAAGACAATACTAATCTGTAATCACCCCGACCTTGCTGTTCTGCTAGAACCTTAAGCTTATCACCTTCAAGTAACCTGTTTTATGTATCTTCATTTCATATCACAAGAAAGAATTTTAATGATTTTCTCCAGTGTAAATTGTCAGTGTAAAACTTGTATATGGACATATAGCATTACCAGTTTAGTTGTAATTTGTCAACGAAAATTGACCAAAAAGCTGTACAAAATGACAATAATCAGAATCAAAAGTGGCGGCCGCTGTCGGCCATCGTACTTGCATGATTTACTTGTATGAAATCAACACAAGAGATGATGGGAGGTAGAATAACATGACTTTAAAAACCTTATTCGTGAGGGTTAATATCTCCTTTCAATCTCATTTTATGAAGGAATCAAATACATGTAATGAAGAAAAACATTCCGGAAAGTGCACTTGGCAGTCGTTGGTCAAATGGGAAAGGAGGGGGGTTAGTATAGGGTGTTTCTCCTTCCCCTCCCTAGACAACGTAATATGTGCTATGAAATGCACAATTATTATCGTTTAATTAATTGTTAAGCTAAATATTTATATCGCAGAAGAGCTGCCGTATATTGGTCCCAGTGTAATTATCGTTTAATTAACTGTTAAGCTAAATATATTTATATCGCAGAAGAGCTGCCGTTTATTGTCCCAGTGTAAGAGTAAGTCTTCGATTGTAAAAGTCAGCGCTTTTAGCAAAAGTCCAATGTGGACTCCTGGATAAAAAAAAAGGATTCGGATCTTTTTACACACCACATCCCTATATACCGGTATTTAATCTCCCTATATACCGGGATGTCATCTCTTGGATTATTGTTAATGAGGTGAACTTCCATCTGTATGTCACACTTTCATTTGAATGCTATTCAAACAAGAGTGTTTTGTTAAATAAAAGGAAGACTGAGATACAACATTGTAGCTTTTAATTAATTTTCTAAGATACAAATAAGTATCGAATTGAATTTTACTTTGAAAAAGACACAAAAAGCTAGATATTATATAATTCTTTTAAAAAATACAAAAAGTTAATATCACATTTCGAGGTAATATTCACCAGTTAAATAACTAGTCCTTATCACAGACAAGAGAGATCACAGACAAGAGAAGGTAAGTCTAAATGTTAAAATAACCATACTTTGTTGTTACAAGTCATTCTTTGTTTAATGAGAACTTTATAAATTCGAAAACACAAAATAGAGTTTCACACGATTTGTATACTTTCATAATCTGGATGTACAATTACTACTCAAACTTAATCTCATTTTTAGGAGACAATGTTAAGTATACAAAATGCGGCACTTATGCTAATGAGAGAATAAGTGATGATAGGAAATCGTGTGAATCGACTCTCTGCATGCTACTGAAATACAGCAGTCATTGCTTGAAGACTTGAATATGGCTCATTACGCCTCATCATTTTACTTCTTTTTAGTAAGTTGTTTGATTATTGTTTCCGTCAATTCTTCCATATCTACAGGATCTCCAGGATTACTCTGTAGCCTACAAACAGAACAAAACATGGTCTGTACATGTCTAATTAATTTAATTAAATACAGAAAGAGAGAGAGAGAGAGAGAGAGAGATTTATGTACCTTGAGAGTTTCTTTTCCACCTGGATGGCCACTACCTTTGCAATTGTTTCTTCAGTGAGTGCCGACTCCTTGGCATCCTCACTCCTCTTTTTCATGTACAAATAAACCATCTCTCTCTCCAAGCTAAAGTACACGTCCATCACCTTAAGGCTAGCCATAACTATTTTTATAATAAATAACGTTATTAAAGAATTAAACAGAATGTAAATAATACATTTGCAAAATGAATAACACATTACAATTATTAACGTGTTTTAAGTTTTAACTGATTTTCATATAGCAAATTAACTTCATTTTAGTACTGAGCCTCATACTGAGTTCGATCGGAAGGCAATTATCAAACAATAAACAAAGGTAATAAGAGATCACAGAGCTCACCTCAATGAATGTTGTCTTTAAGTAAAGCAAAGTCCCAAACTAATAATCTAGTAGTGTGCACCCCAAGATGTAACATTTATGCAATTTTGGTCCGATAGGGCTTGCAGTTACTTGGATATGGACTTACCTAAAAACTTTAAACTAGTCACTCATCCAGAAAATGTAAGTCATATCCAGCAGCTGAAGCAAGTTTGAGAGTGTTCATCCTGTGATGCATCATCCATGCAAGTTTGGTTCAGATAGCCCTTATAGTTTACTTTTACCTGGTCACTCATCCGAAAAATGTAGGTCAGATCCAGCATCCGAAGCAAGTACAGTAGTGTGCGTCCTAAGGTGTATCATCCAAGCAAGTTTAGTTAATATAGGGTATATAGTTACTTGGAAATGAAACCTACTCCAAAAACTTTAACCTGGTCACTCGTTCGGAAAATGTAGGTCAGATCCAGCATCCGAAGCAAGTCCAGTAGTATACACCCTTAGATGTATCATCCAAGCAAATTTATTCAATGTAGGGCTTATAGTTACTTGGAAATGAGACCTGCTCCAATAACCTGGTCACTCATCCTGAAAATGCAGGTCAGATCCAGCATCCGAAACAAGTACAGTAGTGTGCATCCTCAGATGTATCATCCATGCAAATTTGGTCAATATAGGGTTTATAGTTACTTGGAAATGGCACTTGCTCCAAAAACTTTAACCTGGTCACTCGTCCTGAAAATGCAGGTCAGATCCAGCACCCGAAACATGTACAGTAGTGTGCATCCTCAGATGTATCATCCATGCAAATTTGGTCAATATATGGCTTATAGTTACTTGGAAATGGCACTTGCTCCAAAAACTTTAACCTGGTCACTCATCCGGAAAATGTGGGTCAGATCCAGCATCTGAAGCAAGCTTGGTAGTGTGCATCCTTAAATGTATCATTCATGCAAGTTTGGATACAAGGCTTATAGTTACTTGAAAATGAGACCTGCTCCAGAAACTTTAACCTGCTCCAAGAACTTAAACCTGCTCCAAAAACTTTCTTCAGCTGAAATTGCAGCAACTGAAACCTTGACTGGTGCAATGAACCCTACTACTGCATTCTCCATGCATCTCTGATTAATATAGGGCATAGAAGTACTTGAGAAGAAATCTGCTCCAAAAACTTTAACCTGGGACGCCGACGCCAAGAGTATTACATAAGCTCACCCAACTTCGTTGAGGTGAGCCAAAAACAGATTTTAAAAATATTTTTAGTTTTAAACCGAAGGTGAAATATTTCAAAAATTGTTTTCAAGGTCTATTCATACTTGAGACAACATAATAACAAAGAAGAGTAAGAGTGATTTAGATGTTGCGTTTTCATGATCACTAGGTTACATATTATGTACTCCTGACTTACGCTCTTTGTCATGATTCCTAACGGTATTGCACTGCTTGCATTTGTTATAAATTCCCTTAACAAGGTAGAAAAGAAACAGAGGAACGCCGAGAGGCATTGGTATGACGGGATACCGCCGGAACTCCCGCACCAAGGCGTATCTTTCATAATTCCACTTATGATCCCTTTTCTCCTGAATTCTTTGATAAGTGTCTCTGAAAGATTAAAACCAACAAGCTAATATTATGTATTCGTACTTGGTAGAATCACATACATATATGTTAATGGTTGTCACATCTGTCAAATTCATTTATCCACGACGAATCTCGCAAGATATCAAAACAATCTTTTCAAGTTCTTTTTAAATATGCTCTTATGTATAACATAGATCATGACTTCTCAAACCGATATAAGCGAAAAAACCAGATTGATTTATTAATTTACAGAGAATTTACAAAATATTTCATATCTAACTGGAACTGCATTACATGTCCAAGGATATACGTCTACTTACGTAAACATAGCTATTAGGATGTTAAGTAACATAACGTTAGCGAATATCAAGTATATTCCCATCATAACCAGACCAATGATTTTTCGGTGTTTTACGGCACATCGTGGAAGAGTCCCTGCATTATACACCGTTTCGTTAAAGGAACAATCAGGTTCTTCCACTGTAAATATTATATACAGTAATATGGAGTCATAAAAATGTGGTTCATTTCATAGAGAATATTACATACTAAAATCCATATCATATGTCATATCAGCCCGAGTGGCCCCATATCAGCCTGAGGGCTGATATGACATGTGATATGGATTTCAGTATGTGGTATTCTATTTATTATATAATTAAAATACTTAATATGCGAGATCCCATTAAATCATTGAAGAATGTTTCGTGCATGTTTATGACCTTTTTCTTTAAAATCTAATGAAGCAAATTTTAGTCTTTGAAGCAAATTAAGTCCACAGATGTTAGTAAAGAATTATTTTACATGTATATCTAAATAAAATCAAGTTAATTAACTTTTAAACTTAAAACAAACGTTACTTCCGGTTTGATATGGATTTTTGCCCGCCGGTCCGATACGTGATATGTATTTTCGGACCGGTCTTTCCCTAACAAAAAATACTATAGTTAACATAGTTTACTATACTTAGCTATAGTAAATCAAAGTGTCAAAGTTATCACTATAGTAAATCAAAGTTTTCAAGTGATCACTATAGTGTCATAGTGATCACTATAGTAAATCAAAGTTTTCAAAGTCATCACTATAGTGTCATAGTTATCACTATAGTTAATCAAAGTTTTCATAGTGATCACTATCGTAAATCAAAGTTTTCATAGTTATCACTTTAGTAAATCAAAGTGTCCTTTTCACTATAGTAAATCAAAGTGTCAAAGTTATCACTATAGTAAATCAAAGTTTTCGTAGTGTCAAAATTATCACTATAGTTAACTATAGTATTTTTTTGTTAGGGATGATATGGGGTATTGTGACGTCACCCGTAACTCTCAGTGCAGAATCGGTGTACTACTAAGTATATGATAAATATTCAATAATCAGGATTCGGTTGTATTAGCAGTTTATTAAATTTAATGAATTATTGAATATAATGAATACTTAAATTCTTAATGATACATTGGTTAATGAAGGCATGAAAAACCTAAACAACTACATCCGTCCTTTATCAACGTGGAAATGAGAGTGAATTATGTAAAATAATGTACCTTCTATATCTTCTAGAAGCAATTCACCGTAGAGATTCCAGTATCCAAGACGCATAACATTTAAAAGAAGATCAAAACTTAATTCTGATCGTGGATACATGATGGAGTATGCTGCCACGGCATAAGACACGACAAACAACATCAGTATAATTACAAAGTAGAGGAGATCCTTAGCCTACAATAAGAAGCAATAGTTTGAAAAGGGATTCGGTCTTTCATATGCTTTTTGAGCAGAATATGATAGATTTTTTACACACTAAATCAGCAAAATATTGGTTAACTTGTGTATTGTAAATATATTATTACCATGGATGCAATCATCCAAACTTTAGGTCCTAACTCCTCAAGTGCAGAAAAAGTCTTGAGAATGCGCATGAAGAAAGCTATAAGACTAATTGCAAGGAAAACACGACCCACTTCAATAGTCTCGTAGTATCCAAGCACATCCAGAATGGCACCGATGGTGAAGAAGCAAAGAATCGTCACATCGAAGTAGTTCCACTTGTCTTGAAAGTAGATTTGTATCATATACGGTCGCTCTGAGATATATTTTTCTCCTAATTGTTTCTTAGAGTCCGACAGCCCATAGAGAAGCTGCATAGAAAAAACACAGGAAATATTCACTGCAAGAAAATATTTAAGATGGTACAGCCAATTTATTCATATTTGGAAGAGAACAAACCTCTCGAACTTCATCCAGCATCAAACAAAAGACCCAGCAGTACATCAGAATTTCGACCCATGTTATAGTGTCCCCAAAACCGGTAAGAAGAGAATAGCTAAAGAACGCCAGAAATATCATGTAGGATGCCTGAAAGAGAATGCCTCATTGCTTATCATGTACATTAATTTGGAATAAAAACCAAACATTAGAAATCTGTACACAATATGTGAACAAGCCTTTAAATGTATATCTACAAAATATGGAATAAATACCTGAAAAATGCTTTCGACAAATTTAAGACAAGATAGGCACAAAAAACATGCATGTGCTTATGAATTTATCTGTACAGTAGTAGTTTTTGCTAATATAATCAGATGCTTTGAGACTTACCATTGTGTGAGAAAAACGCATTATTGGGGCAGTGTAGAAGTTATAAATACGTTTCCCTATTCTGGTTATACAATTTGCATCATCCTATGTAGCGTAGCAGAAAAAATAAAAGTGCATTTTATTATCAATACAAGTGAAAATTTCTCGCCTCACATGGTTGTTAAGCACGTATTATATTATCATTATATGCATCAAACAGAACATACTTGACATGCAAAGATTTCAAATCAAATAATGAATAATTCATCACCAACCTTTTTCCCAGAATTTGACTTAACATATTTGAGAACAAAAGGAAACAGACCAAGAAAGAACACCGATATAATCAACTGAAATAAAAACATATGATATAACATAAAGGTTTGCGCCATTAAAAAGCATTGTACAGAACTTATCCTTTAAGCATTAATTACATAATTTGTTAATCACCTGTAAAGCACTGTTGTCAGGTGAGATTTGCCCATACCAGACTCTGTTTATAGGAATTTTACAGGCTTCATGAGTCATAAAGGAATGAACTTTCATTTTGTAGGCTATTTCTAAACATGTCAAGTTTCGCCAACGGGGGCGTTTTCTGGTTAACATGCGTTCCGTTTCGTCTGGATTATCTTTATAAAACTGGCTTAGGACTCCACATGCCAAGGATTGAAACTCACTATGAAGTAATGACAATGTTTATAAATAGAAAAGAAGACAATAAATAATGTAAATGGCACCCCCACCGCAATAAAAATAAATTAATAAAACAACATACAGCTCTGATTCAAGCAATCTGTCTGCTAGCAGCTTATTTGCTGGTTGACATTTCTTTCTCATGGTTCTATAAATCCCACATGCTATCAATGCTGAGGGTAAAGGCTCCTATTTTAAAACAATTTCAAAAAAATAGATACTTTTCCATTATTATCGGGAAAAAATTTGAATTTACAATTATATGCAAAAAAAATTCATCTCCTCTCACATAGTTTTTCTATTACCTTGCAGTGTTGCCAGAAAAATTTGGCTAGTTCTTGGAGATTCATCATCAGTATGGACCAGACAAGGAGATAGAAGTATGGGTCAGATTGACTATCAGAAGAGACCCTATGTTTCAATGTATCTATAAGTCCTTCGTTGGTAAAGGTCATGGCTCTTACAGGATCTGTAAATGTTTGAAATATACTGATTATCTTACTAAAAGAAAGAAAAAGACATTATCTTGATAAATTTTCTCATATGATGAGACGTATATACTACCCAGGAGCAACTCTGTCAGTAATTTGATGTAATACATTGTACTTAAACTCATACAAGTAATCTGTCAAACAATTTATTTTCTGTAGGTCCCACAAACGTCAATCTATTTTTTTCACAATTTTGATTTGTGTCCAGATTATCTTTAACGAAAGTAATTTACAGTATAATGGCATGGCTTTTAAATCCAATTCTGCTGAAGTTATTTGTATTTACATGTAGATGTAATTTCTTCACATTTCAGTTGGTATACATCAATTCAAGTTCTGAATTAATACATCACGATGGCATTTGATAACGTTAAGAATAGATATGACTGCCGTCATGAGAAAAGGGCCCTTATCTTTTGACGTCACAATGCGCAGAAAACGACGTCAAAGACGCGGTATTGTAAACACGGAAGTATTTTTTGTCGAGTGCGTTTTGTGAACAAGAAATAAAATTGGATTCCCGGATGTTACAAGAAAAATATTAAATGATATGAAATTTGATGCGGAAATTTTAAATAAATAATATAATTACATACTAGTACATACATTTATTAATTATTCTGTTTTAGTATTTAACTTGATATCACATAATTAAGCTAAACGAGACATTGAACTCATTGTTAATTACGACTATTTATAACGACGTGTTTATATGATGCATGACTAAAGATACTGTATATTTGTTGTCTGAGCAATTTGAAAATGTTTAAATTTGACTGATATTCAGTAGACTAAGTCTTATTATGAAATGGTATTCTACATACACGTATATAATTTTTTTTTCAGAGAGATGGGGGGGGGGGAGAGAGAGATCGAGATCAATGCACATATACACTTCTCTTTTTCTAAAGAAAAATACCTTCATGTAAAATGTATTTATCCATTTTAATACATAGTAAATCATATCCATATGCGCAGTAAGACCAGCTCAGGGTGTAGCTGCAGAACTGTAGCTCTCTGCTTGAGAAAATTCGAACAGACAAAGAAGAGAGCTACAGATCCAAGCGTTGTAAAAACCTTCGATTTACGCCGCCGCTTTTTTGTCGCTCGCTTCAGGTATTATCTCTTGTATTTAATGCTTTCCCCAGCAGAGAGCTACAGTTCTGCAGCTACTCAGGGTGAGGCGTCGATATCCAAATTTGATGGGGAGTGGGGGGGGGGGGGGGCAAATATCATTGAAAAGGAAAACAAATCTGCGAATAAAAAAATCAATCGGTAAAAATTCATTCTAAAAAGAGAACCTTTCTTTTTTATTGGGGGTCAGGGAGTGGGTTAGATACTGGTATCATGGGATACTACAACACCGAATAAGGGGGGACGGCCCCTATATAGATAATTCTTTGCTAAATTAACAGCAAGAACATATGCAAATGGGAAAACGGAAGAGGGCGATGCCACCGAAATTTTGCATAAAATAAATTATGGTTAAAAAAAAAAACATTTTGAAATGATCAAATAAATACATAAAAAAGTAGTCTCTGATAAAATTTATGTATCAATTTTCTTAAATTGTTGCGATAAAAGCTGACTTGAAATTAAATTGCAATATGTTTAGGAAATAAATACAGCTATATAATGTGGACTTTTTCCAAAAGCATTATGATCAATGTTGAAGAAAATAACAGTAACATCGACGGTGATATTAAGATTAAAATGTTTATGAAACAGAAGAAAACAGATTAAACAATAGGTTATATGCTGTAAAGAAATTACAAACTTCTTATAAATGTTGATATGGCGACATCTTTTGAGAATAAGTACTAGTAACAAGTGGTTATGGGTGTCATATTCAAATGTTAAGAAAATGTTCAAAAACATCAACCACATCAGTTGTAAGACAACAAAGACAATCAAGAAATCTAAATTTTGATAAAGATGGAAGAAAAATTAACACTGGTGATGTTTCGAGCGGAAAAAAAAGGTTCAGGCAAAACTTTGAAAACCATAAAATATGTTAGAAAAAACTTTTTTTTTGGTTGACTGTTGAATTCATGTACATCTGTATGTAATAAATTAGTCACGTCTCGTGTTAAAATCTTGGACGTTGAGTCTCTGCTTCGATATCTCGATGTCTCGGATATCTCGACATTTTTGAAAGTTCCGTTGCTATCGGGATACTGAAGGAAAATGATTAAACAAGCACACACATCTTTCTGATTTTAAAGAAAAAAATGTTTCTATGTCAGTCGTGTGGTAACAGGCAAAAATAAGAGTCGTTTTCTTTAATTTCGAGATTATTGAAACAATAACTAGGAAAAAAAATGGTTTGTCTATTTTATCTTTAGCTTTCAAGACAAAAGCAGATACTAAGTCGCCTATGAAGGTGAGTTAGAGTGGTAGAGTTACAAACATTCAATGGGATATTGCTTAACCGAATCGCCTCATATACAAAAAAAAGTATAAACGTGTGTCGGACGTAATATTTAATTATTGTTTAAGAATATATTTTATGTACATTCCATCGCATCGAAATATGAAAAACTTAGATGTCAGATTAACTGATGCCACAGAGGAAGATAAATAAATGACCTTAATTATGTTAAAATGCATATATTCAAGCAGGTCCGTAGCTACAAATTAAAATGGCGGGGGCGGGGGATTACTCCATAAATCTGACACGCAATTAAGAGGGCTGGGTGGTTGTGGCCATTTTCAGACTATATTGATCTCCTTTAGAAGAAGAGCTCCATATAAAGATATACAAAAATGATCATATTTTAAAACTAAAATGTATGAAATTTTTGTTTGCCAAATGATATTTGACAGCTTAAGATATCATATCTAAAAAATTAAGCTATATCTGATGGTTAATTTGTTGACCCCCCAGCCTCCTTAAAAAAAAACCTGTACTGACTGAAGAGTGGTGGTGGTGTTTTCAGGGGGGGGGGCAACTTTCTAAAATAATCTGAGAAGCAGAAAATGGGGAAAAGCTTATCTGTACAAAAATCCTGGAATTTTTCAGTGCTCCACCTTACAACAACAGAAATGGGGCGGGGGGGGGGGGGGGAAACCAGCACCTATAAAAGGAAAATTTGCTAATACTATACTCAGAAAAAGTGGGGGCAGCCTTTTGATTAAGTGTGATTTGCTTAAAAAGTAAGAAGTTAGCAAAAATTTAAATTTTCATGTACGGAATAAACGTTCATAAAGCAATCCTTTGACATCATTATATGCCTCTTTGTTATTTCTCCATCATATCTAAGACAGGCGAAGAAATTGAATTGTATAAACAATGGAAACTTAATTATTTAAACATTTTTAATAAAGTGTTCAAAAAAAAGTAAAAGAATAATCCCCTTGAAGGTTGTGAACAGATTTTTTTTATTTATGAAACTTTAAAAAAAGTTTACACATCATGGCGTATCTGAATTTATTTCCCGTTAGAATTTTTTGGTGATACAGAAAATACATGAGGTGTAATTATCCCTTCCTAACAAAGTTATAGGGGATAAAGTATAGTGCGTGTATGTGGGTGAGTGAATGCGTGCTTATAACCCAAATTTTTTTTTTAAGATCGGGATCGATATGCTCTTTTGCGAGGAGATGCCCCGCTTTAATTGCGTGAGGTGCCCTTCTGGGACACCTATATAGATCTTTTTATATTTTAATATTACAAGTGCTTTATATGTTTAATAAATTGATATAGAGTATTAATTATAAAAAGAATACCTTGTGTGGAATTCAACAAGTATTAATTTTTCGACTCAATAAAAAACCGTTCCTAGATCCTGTCTAGACCCCACCCCTCCCTCTACGAAATTACTAGATCTCCTCTAATATAGTATGAAAAAAGTATGCGACTCCCCTTATGAATAATTACATACTAGTTGCTTGGAAGAAAAAAAAATCAAGTTTATATGTGTTAAAACGATTAAGGTTATTTTAAAAATGTAGTTTTTAAAGAATGCTTGGAAACTAATTTGACGCACGCGACGTCATTACGTTTTCAGTGAGTAAGTCAACGTTGTTTTGAAGCGGCCTTACTAAAATGCTCATAAAATACTGAAAAAGTGAGATATTTTTAAAACGTGTGCATATTTGCATTCAGAAAGAGTCAGGCTATCAAAATTTACCAAAAAGTCAATTTGTGAAATTTTGACCTTAAGGGCCCTTTTCTCATGACGGCAGTCATATGTATTAGATCTATTTTAGCAATGATGATGATAACTTGATAATGTCGCTGACTTTACGATATATATATAATCACATGTAAAGTCTTGACATTAATACTTGCCATTTCTATCGCCAAGATCATAACTCATAAAAACGTCTATCTGCAGGATTCGGACCACAAACCTTATGACATTCTCCTCTGTTGGTTCCACGTCCCAACCCATCTATACAATAGAAATTACACAATAAAGAAAGAACATAGGTAATCAGAGATTAAAGAGCTCACCTCAACGAATGTTGTTCTTAAGTAAGGCAAAGTCCCACACTAAACAATAATCTAGAGGTATGCATCTCTAGATCCCACATTTCTGCATTTTTGGTCTGACAGGGCTTGCAGTTAATTGGGAATGGACATACCTAAAAACTTTAAACTAGTCACTCATCCAGACAATGCAAGTCAAATCCATCTGAAGCAAGTATGAAAGTGTTCATCTTTAGATGCGTCATTTATGCAAGTTTGGTTAAGATAGGCCTTATTTTCTTGGTAATGGACCTGCTCAAAAACATTACCCTGTTCACTCACCTGGATATTATAGGTCAGATCCAGCATCCGAAGCAAGTCCAGTAGTGTGCATACTAAAATGTATCATCCATGCAAGTTTGGTCAACAGAATGCTGATAGTTACTTGGAAATAAGATCTGCTCCAGAAACTTTAACCTGGTCACTCATCTGGAAAATGTAGGTCAGAGCCAGCATCCGAAGCAAGTACAGTAGTGTGCATACTAAGATGTATCATCCAAACCTTAAAACCTGGGACGCCGACGCCAAGGGTATGACAAAAGCTCCCCCAATTTCGTTGAGGTGAGCTAAAAACATGCGGAATAATTATACACATTAAAAAAATCATCTACGATTGACGAAAATGTTATATATTTTAGCTGTGATGCACATTTATACAGGAATTTGATAAACATTCATGTAAAAAATTATACAACCCTGCATCTTACAAAATCAATCTTTAACATATTCACGCTTTGGGTAATGAAACAAGTAATAGCATTTTCAAGGACCAAAACTCAATAAAACAAGAGATGTTTGTGAACCCCCCCCCCCCCAATAATTGGATTTTTTAAGTCGAAGAGGCTTAAGTCTGTCGAAAATTGCTCGATCGTTCCCAAAATAGAAATTGACCTAGTTATTTTATGATAAATCAGTATACCAAATTTCATTTCAGTATGTGCAACCTCTGCGACGAAAATGAACGGAAACTGCAAATAATTGGAATTTTCCTAAGTCCAAGGGGCATAACTCTGTCAAAAATTGCTCGATCGTACCAAAAACAGAACTTGACCTAAATATTTTTATGATAAATCAGTAAAACAAATTTCATTTCATTATGTGCAACCTCTGCGAAGAAAATGAACGGAAACTGCAAATAAGTGGAATTTTTCTAAGTCCGAGGGGCATAACTCTGTCAAAAATTGCTCTATCGTACCCAAAACAGAACTTGACCTAGATATTCTTATGATAAATCTGTATACCAAATTTCAGTTCAGTATGTGAACCTCTGCGAAGAAAATGGACGGAAACTTGGTGGACCGACAGACCGACCGATAGACAGCAGCAAAGCAATATGCCCTCCCTTTTTCGAATAGGGGGGAGGGGCATATAATTGAAAATGTTTAATTGGAAAAATTCTCAAATATTTAACTGCAAAAAAGCTTTGTTTTCATTACCTGTCTCTTAAGTTCTTCTGGAATCTGAAACAAAATTTTAAAAAAAATCAATATCAAAAGGTTTAGTTTTTTTTTTTTAATATACTGCTTAGAGTTACTTGATAAATATACAGTATTAAAGTAAGTAACAAGTACTTGAGAAGGGATGACAATACTTGTAATTGATATAGTATAAAAAATACAAAATATTTTAAATAAAGTTCTCTGATTTATGTTTAAGGATTGCATCTATTCACATTTTTGTTGCCTTAAGGATGATAATCAATGTTAATTTATTTATCGAACATGATACGTTTGGTAAAGTTCCTTGTTTTGGCAGTTGATGCCCCTGAGATTGGAAGTAAAAAGAAGAAATTAAACATTTAACCAGTTAACTCACATCGTCTGCCTTAAACAGTTTGTGGTAATTCTCTCTCGTAAATTTGTTGATATCAACACACTCTTTTATTAAAAGTCTCACAAAATCCTTTTTTCCGTCTTTCATTGCACGAATCATTAGTTGGTTTTTGAAAGCATCCTAAAATTAAACAGATTGTGCTTTAACACTTTTAAAATACAAGTTGATACTGACTTTTTTTTCTTTTACATTTGTGGCTCAATTTCAGTGAAACTTGGAACACAAAATAACACCAAAAAATACATTATTCCGTATACTGGATTCGTCATAACGATGAGCAATATCGCCATATTTCTTAATTAATATTGATAATAATTAATAATAATTCTTATGAAAATTAATAAACAAAATGTAAAAGGTGAAGTCAATGAACAGTGATCAATTTCATAATTCAAGTAGCCTGCATTGGTTTGAAAATTGATCGTATTCTGCATGCTCTTGCGTATTGAATCATTTGAGAGACATAAACACCATATGCAAGTGATAGTGGAATATTACTACATAAATAAGAAAAGTTAACGATAAGAAAAGTGAAGTCATCCAGTTTGTTATACGTTTAGTTGTTAGTTGGCCATTATCGTCGATAGTGTAAATATCCGAATATGAAATATATGTAGCAGATTCTGTCGTGCCTTTTATCTCGAGTTCACTGGGATATATCGAGTCGACAAATAAATGAAAATACATCTTTTGTTAATTGATAAATTGTCCATACGCGTAAATGTCGAATACATGGACTGGAATGTTAAATTGATGCTCTGAATAATGCAATAAGGTGTTGTCTACCCGTGTTCGAAGTTTTACTAAAATTAAAACTATTGTAGCGATACCATTTTGAAATATATACACAGTTTAATCAGAAAGACAAGTTCAGGTTACCATGGTTACGCCGTTTACTGAAATAAAACAGAGCCAAAAAATATCTTGATGCAGTGAAATTAGTGGGAAAAAAATCCAATCAGATCAAGCACGTTACAGGAGGAGCATGTAGATAGAATTCCACCAATTTTCCGTACAACACTGTTCATAGTAATAAAAATACTGATACAGGGAGAGAATTCCACCAATTTTCCGTTTTAGGTATCCTTACAACACTGTTCATAGTAATAAAATACTGATACAGGGACATATTTGCAAGCCAAGGGTTATCAGTCCTCTCCGCTCTATATGGAGAGCGAAGCGAAACGAATACCCTTGGCTTGGTAAGATGATACAAGGAATGATATAACTTTTTGTTTAACAAGTTGTTTAAAATTCAACCAGTTGAGCTACAACGGAACCAATCAGTTTTGTAATTGTAAACATGTTTCAGAGTCTAACTACCGTTAAATTGGGTTTGTTTTTGGCAAACACGTGCTCCTTTGCCTTTTCACTGCTGTTAAACGCCAAAGTCAATCGCAGTTTCTTCTCATTTGATTCTAAAACAGATTTGAATTTGAGAGGAAAGTAAATTTTGCTTGTGGAATGCATTGTTGTTTTGTCGTTATTGTGATTTTTTTTTCGTCATATACCTGAGTCGATTTTCTTAAGAAATATTACTAAATGAACAAGATGTATGAAATTTGAATAATATAGCAAATTTTTTTCGGTCAAACCACTGAGCTAACGTAACATACACTAGCGTAACTTACCCATAACATCTCTCAGCAGAACTTCTATAAGCACCATGTCAAATTCACACGTTTCATCATTTAGATCGACGAATATGAGGCATCTACTGTTTTGGTGATTTACTATCTCCATTAATTTACTGTCTTGTGTTCTACATAGTAAAATAAAATCATTAACCCATTTAAGACCTAACAATTGACTGATACTTTGATAGGATTTATTCCACCTATTCCTACTTTTACAAAATCTGGTTGGAAAAGATAAAAGTTTATGTGGGAATAGCTGGAAAACTTTTGTATACAAATAACTAACTGCATAAATAAAATTGATTAATTAACTCCCGTTGAAATGGAAGACAGTTAAAATGACTTTTTTTTATTGTAAGTCTCATTTTTTACCAATATTTGAAAGAAAAAGAATTCATAGCATTTCGTTTATTTGAAAAACACACAACAAGAATATAAATATTAATGTACCAATAATTCCATATTAAAAAATGCACATTTATTATATATTTCAGTGCATTAAATCATTTTTTTCTTAAACCTATTTATTTTATTTTCTAAATTTCTTAAATTTATTGATTTTTCTGTATTGAACTGTACAAAATACAGGTAAATCAAGGTGGGATGCAATTAAACTTAGGTGCTATACAAAACAAAAAATAAACTATCAAAACACGTATTGTTATTTGCAAGTGGGAATAGGTTGAATTCAGATTTTTAAAAAGTGGGATAAGTTGAAGACACCCTTTGATAGAAACCATGTCTTTTAAAGGTATTCAATACGTTTCACACAAGTCATGTTACCTGATTTGATGTTCAGTGATGGATGCCAGGATATCAGCAAGTCCTCCAGTCCCCTTAAAGAAAACATTAAAACGATTCCCTTTAAAGTCTGCTCTATTACATCATATAAATCAATCAATTATCTTAATTTCCACAGATAAATATCAGTCAGATATTGCTGTTTCTCAGAAACTTTTTAGATATTCGATAAATGTAATATGAATGCTAAGAAAAATTGAGCTTTTACCAACTTCCCCCTTCCATTAAAAGTGACTTGAAACTAACCTTTAAAACTACGACATGTCTGCCGGCATCTAAAGATCGTCGTATCATGCTAACAGATTGATATTGGTCACCTTCCACAACCAAGAGAACTGAAGGGACTTCTACCGAGTCATCCTCCTCTGAAATGGACAACTTGCGAATCTTAATAATAAATAGCCGTATGAAGATTCCAATTTTTCCTTGAATATAAAGGATAAATTTTATTTCGTGAAAGTGAAAGGATGTATGACAATCAAACATGCCCAAAACTTATAGTTTTTATAATTTTCAGTTAAAAGAAAGTTTTAAACAGGTTTTCAAAATATATTGGTCTGAAACGCCCTTGCATTATGTAAGTCGTGAAGTCCTACCGAAAATTTTGAATGTTATAAACTTCAAATGTGTGTCTATGCCCCTTTAAAGCAGCATACAGTAGCGCATTTGAATATTTTAACCACCAACCTACCGATAAACATCTAGGGATTTTTTAAAGAAACAAAATACCGGTAATATAATTAATTTAGGCAATATATTTTAGACTGTACACACACACACACAGAGAGAGAGAGAGAGAGAGAGAGAGAGAGAGAGAGAGAGAGAGAGACCTGGTTTGTTGAGTTCAAATCTTCCACGTCGAATGTACTCCTCGAGATCTGCTCTAAGTCTGGCAGTTGACACCATGTAGCCAGATCCATTAACATTCTCCACACTTTTCTCAGGCAACAGAAAATGAGTGCAAAACGGGTTAAGATGGTAGTCTCCTGGAGCTGTTGCTGCCTCACGTGTATTGTACTGTGCCGGCCATCTCCCAAAACCCTGCACATTTAACCAAATTAATAAAGAATTACATAAGAGAAACACTTCATAACGTTTGGAAATGAATTTCTAATAAACTCTTTTGGTTTGCACTTACTCGTATTTTTCCAGAAACATACACCTTGTCTTGTATGCAATGCGTTAATATAAATGAGTTAGATGTGAATGTTTCTCCTTTTCTCTTCGATCTGCTACGAGTCATAACACCTTTTCAGACTTGAGGGAAATATTAACTTTATAACAAATTGATCGTTTGCAAGCAATTAGAAAAAGGGGCAAGAAGAGGGTCCACGGATCAAAGACGTTTTTCTTATTGCAAATGTCATTGATAATAAATGAGATCCACGTCCTGTACTGCACTACCTAGCTGAAACCCCTCCTTTCACCAAAACTTATCCAGTACCAATCCTTATATCAACACATAGCTGGATCCCACCCTTTCAGCACAACTTAGCCAGAACTAATCCTTTCATCAACACATGGCTCAAAGCCACTCTTCAGCAAAACTTAGCCAGAACCAAGCTTTATATGAAAACTTTGCTGGAACTTGCATTTCAGCACAATGCAGAGAGAACCAATCCTTTCAGCACAACTTAGGTAGAATCTACCTTTTCAGCTCAACTAAGCCAGAATCCCCCCCCCCCCCCCCGAAACACAACCTACCAAAACCCAACTTTTTAAGGACAGATACTACAAACAAACTTCTTCTTAAAAAAATAACAACTAAATCTTTATTTATTTAGTAAAACAAATAAGTTAAGCCACAATATGTTTCATTTTTCAATCGAAGTGTCTCAGTAACCTCCTATAAAGTGATAATTACTGAAACTTATGATTGTGACAAAAAAGAAGAAACTTGAACAACACAGAAAATCTACAATTTCTTAATATTTTAGAGATTTGATATATACATCATTTACAACCAAAAATCGTTTTAAAAAGCCAATCAATGAATCTTTTTTTTTTTTTACTGTGGCATTTGTCCTTAATTCGTCTTGAAGAGAACCACCATTTTAGCACAACTTAGCCAGTACTTGTACTTGTTTCATGACAACCAGGTCAGAACCAACTCTTTCAGCATAATTTAGCTAAAACTCATCCTTTCAACAAAACTTGGAGTGAACCTACCTTTTTATAACATTTTAACACAACTTAAAATTCATCTTTTCGGCACAACATCGTCAGAACCCGACCTTCAGAACGAATTGGAAAGAACTTAATCTTAGAACACAAGTTCACCAGAACCAATTATTTCAGTTTCGGATTTGTTTAGTAGGATTTCCCCCATACCCAGCTTTCCCCCCGAATCTGTTCCCAAGAGTAGGATCCCCCCAGGGGAAATCTTACACTAGAGCAAACATTCTCCCTCTTTCTTTCTCAGAGTAGGATTTTCCCTATCGATAATATTTTGGCCAGGGATGGGGTAATTGAAATGAGAAATTTTAATTTACAGTATTTGAATTCATTTTTTCAAGGTAATTTAAAGTATTTGTAGTTGAGTTTGCTTTCAATTACAAGTAATTGAATGTATTTAAATACATTCCAAAAATGTCATGTATTTTTCAATTACATTTCAATTACATTTCAAATACTTTATTTTTCCAAGTTACATATTTAAAAAAGGTGTTTTATCATCATGCATACCAGTAGTGTTTGGTATAAGTTTGTGTTTATTCAATAATTAAAAGCCTAATAATACTTATACAGCATAAACACAATGCCCATGGCATAGGAAGGTTAAATTTAATAATATTGCTGCTTCAAAATATTCATTAAGTAAGTGATATTTATTTAATTACATTCTTCAAAGTAACTGAGAGTAATTAATTACATTTGTTAAAATCAATGTAATTGTAATTGCAAGTAATTGACAAAATTATCAATGTATTCGAATGTATTTAATTACATTCAAAGTAAATGACCCCAATCCTGATTTTGGCTAAAAGTTTACATGAAAGTCAATTATATTCTCCCTCACTTCGTTCGTCCGAATATAAATCAATGAAGTGCTAAATGAATAAAACACAACACATATTAAGTAGGAACGCTGCTCGCTAGTGCTTTTATTAAATACTGCTAACACATAACCATAACACATTAACTAATACAACTGTATAGCCCAAATTCATTGCATTCCATTGCATCACTATCAGCCATACTCGCAACCGCATGACCTTACTATTTATACCCTATATAACCGCGTGACTTTCAAAGAATCTTTTCGAACATGCTTCATAATACCATGCCGCGTAAATTTTAATTGATCTCTTATTTGATATATGAGGGTTTTTATTTCGACCCAAGAATTGTTCAAAGTTAAAGATCAAATCATTGAGTCTTAAACCAAAATCTTGACTCATAGGAAGTGGTATAATTGGTCACTCAAAAAATCGCAATACTCGATGTCTCAACATCTCTCTCGTCGCAGTGGTACCTGATTGTTCACGAATTTTGAAATGTATATTTTTATTTATTTTATTTATGGATCGTTGCTTATTTATAGAGAGTGTGTAAGTAAATTCTAAAATTTATATTACTGATAAGTTCCACATACCATTTGGTGAGTATTTGCCAAAACAAGAACCAACAAATACAAGAAGTACTTCTACCGATCGAAATCCGTAGCATAAATATGTCTCCTTGACCCCAGCGTTGTAATGTTGGATGGATTTGAAAGCAAAGAGCAAATAGTCTCTCTAAAAGTTTTGCAAAATTTCAAATTTTTAGAAATTGGTCCATTTTAGTATCATTTCAACGGCAGCTATTTAGGATATTTCAACCCCTGAAACTTGGAGAGACACTTACACATCAATGATATGTACCTTGGCATTGGTCATTTGCAAAATTACTTTGTTAAAAAACAATCTGATTGTACATACAAGTACTCTGAAGTTGAAAAGATGCTTGAAATTCTGATTGATAATATCTATGTGGTTTTTGGAGAACAGGTCTTCCAACAATCTATTGGAATTCCCATGGGTACCAATTGCGCCCAGTTATTAGCAGATCTATTTTTGTACTCATATGAAGCAGAATTTGTTCAAAATCTTTTACGTGAAAAGAATAAAACACTTGCTGTGGCCTTCAACTCGACATTTAGATATATCGACGACGTATTGTCAATTAACAATGGTTATTTCCATTCTTATGTCGATACGATATATCCCGGTGAGCTTGAGATAAAAGATACCACAGAGTCTGACACATCTGTTTCATATTTGGATATTTTATTAGAAAAAGACGTTAATGGTAATCTAACAACAAAGCTTTATGATAAACGTGATGACTTTAACTTTTCAATCGTCAACTTCCCTTACTTATGCAGCAATATACCCTTATCACCTGTATATGGGGTTTATACCTCTCAGTTGATTCGATATGCTATAGCATGCTCTACGTGTGAACAATTTCTAAAACAAGGTAAGTTGTTGACAAACAAGTTGATGGAACAAGAATATCAGCAGTCTCGTCTAAAGTCATTATTTCGTAAGTTCTATGGTCGATACAATGACCTTGTCAGCAAATACAATCTTTCATTAAGTCAAATGCTGACTGACTTTTTTCATGAAATATATGGAGATAACGAACAGTATTTAAGCTCAAAAGTCCATTAAACAATACAAAATAGGAGCAGAGCAAACACGGACCTCCAAAACATCAGAGGTGGGATCAGGTGCCATGGAGGAGTTAGCATACCCTGCCGACCGGTCCCACCCGCCGTGTGCTCCTTGTCATGATCGGGAAATAACAGAATCCGTTGACAATTCAGTGTGTAAATAATGGCCTAACAATTAGTATGAAAAAACGTCAGTCAGCATTTGACTCAAAGATAAATTGTATTTGCTGACAGGGTCATTGTATCGACCATAGAACTTACGAAATGATGACTTTAAACGAGACTGCTGATATTCTTGTTTCATCAACTTGTTTGTCAGTAATTTACCTCGTTTTAGAAATTGTACATACGTAGATCATGCTTTTGCCTATCGAAACAACTGAGAGATATAAACCCCGTATGCAGGTGATGAAGGTATATTGCTGCATAAGTAAGGGAAGTTGACGATTGAAAAGTTAAAGTCATCACGTTTATCATAACGCTTGGTTGTTAGATTACCATTAACGTCTTTTTCAAGTAAAATATCCATATATGAAACAGATGTGTCAGACTCTGTGGTATCTTTTTTCTCAAGCTCACCAGGATATATCGTATCGACATAAGAATGGAAATAACCATTGTTAATTGACAATACGTCGTCGATATATCTAAATGTCGAGTTGAAGGCCACAGCAAGTGTTTTATTCTTTCCACCTATAAGATTTTGGACAAATTCTGCTTCATATGATCTGCTAATAACTGGGCGCAATTGGTACCCATGGGAATTCCAATAGATTGTTGGAAAACCTGGTCTCCAAAAACCACATAGATATTGTCAATCAGAATTTCAAGCATCTTTTTAATGTCAGCTTCAGAGTACTTGTGTGTACAATCAGAATCTTCCTAACAAAATAATTTTACAAATGACCAATGACAAGGTAAGTGAATTTATGAATTCCATTTTTATTGAAAAAGCAGCTGTCAATGATATCAAAAAGCCTGGACATTAATTTATCGTGGGAAATGATTGTGTATAAAGTTGAAAAGTCGTAAGTTTTTAAGCTGTTGATTTTGGTAAATTCTTGTGATTTCAATTTTTCCAAAAGTTCCTTGGAATTTTTAAGTATCCACATCCACATCATATTAATTGTTAGGTCATTATTTACACACTGAATTGTCCGACGGATTTTTCCGTTATTTCCCGATCATGACAAGGAGCGCACGGCGGGTGTGACCGGTTGGCAGGGGATGCTCACTCCTCCATGGCACCTGATCCCACCTCTGATGTCTTAGAGGTCTGTGTTTGCTCTGCTCCTATTTTGTAATGTTTAATGGACTTTTGAGCTCGAATACTGTTCGTTATCTCCATATATTTCATGTAGTACATTTGGAAAAAAATCCATTTAAAGTAATATTCATCTTTTTTGTATCCCTAATTACAGTACTTGGTAATGAGAGATCACCTGTGGGAAATTTACGGAGGGGACGCTTGTGACAATGTTCACCCCTTCTCCTCCCTCATATAAGTACAAGCATGATATTTTATCGGGAGAAAATTTACTCTTTAGGAACCGACTCTTTAACTAATACACAGAGTACCGGTAGGATCCCTACCCCACCTTCTAGAAAATTGAATCTGGTGTGAGATTTCCGATGGGGAAATCCTACTCTAAAGACATTTTTCCGTCGGAGAAATCCTACACTAGAGCCTATTTCCGGGGGGGGGGGGGGAATCCTACACTAGAGCCAGTTTTTCGGGCGGAAATACTTTAAAGGGAAAAAGCCTACTCTACAAGACCGGAACCCACTCTCAGTATAACTTAACAACTTAGCCAGAACCTAGTTTTACCGGAATCCACTCTTTTAACCGACATTTTAAACATAATTTACAGAGAATCCATTCTTTCAGCACAACTCGGAGAGAGGCTACACTATAAGTACACCTTAGACGGAACCCATTAATGGAAGTAAAACTTAGTCAGAACCCATCCTATTCAGCACAACCGGAACGAAACCTCTACCACAATTTTGTCGGAATCCGAAATTTCAGCACATCTTATCCGGAATCTGCTCTTTCGGCATAATTTAGCGGCCAAGACCCACCCTTACAACGTACTTACCAAGAAACTAATCTTTAACACATATTGGAGAGAACCCACCCTTTTATCACAACTTGGCCAGAAATAAAAGGGATTACTTGCAGAAAAAATGATTACTTACTGCATTGTATAATAAAATACACCTGATCTTCGATAAATAGCGCTAAAAAAAATGACAACATACGTTTTTAACCAGTAACGCACGGTTCATTTTCAGGAATTCCCAAGATGCAATTCCTATAACAGTCGGACGTGTATTCACGTTTTCCTTTTCAACGACTTGTCCAATAACCTTAGAAATTTCGGAAGTGGCGCCATCTGTTGTAAACCACACCCCTGGAATAGAGATAGCATCTTTTCTTTTAGAGGGCCATTTTGTTCACTTCATTGGATTTTTTTCTGACATGTTAACATTTTTAACAGAATCTGGATACAAAAATCAAACAATGCACAATAGTGCACCATGCATGGTGGCTAAGTTTGATTGGTAAAATTGTTGAAGATGAATTACATTTGTTTTATTTAAAGGAAATATAGTCATTTACGTTATTTGTAATGTTGGCATTTGTGTATAACAGAGGTACATGCCTCCATAGGATGGAATTAGTTTCGAAATATTGATTTATAGTATCAAAGAACTGAAAATATTACCTTTTTCTCTAACAATATTTTCTAATGCTGATGTGAAGAACCTAGTCTTTCTTGGGTCGTTCAAAATTTCTAATCCTTCACCTGTTATGGAAATCAATAGCCGAGGTCGCCTTAGACCCCACTGTTTCATGAGGAGTGACAATAGAACGTTCAGGTGGGTTGTGGTGCTGAGGCGAACGTACTAGAAGAAACAAAACATATATTAATATTTATGCATTATTACACAGTAATAAGTCACGGACAAATTAACAATATTAAATTTTGCTGTCTTCTTTATGATGATGCAGATTTTGATTAAAAACAATACAGACAAATTTTAAAGTTTTTTAATTGCATATACCAATTGAAGGAATGCTTGTAAAATTGACAGAGATGGCAAAGACAAGCTATTTTGATTGAGTTGTCAAGGTAGGATTTCAGTGATTTGACACTAAATGCAAGATTCATACTTGAGCAATGTAATGTTCCAGTCCCCCTTCTGCAAAAACCTCCACGCTTCCATAGGCATCTGTCATAGTAGAATCGTCATTTAGAGGTGGAAGTTTTGTCTGCATACTGCATGGAATAGACAAAGAACCATTTGTTACAAGAAAGTGTTATTCGAAGTGTGTCTCCCTTCATCCCAGTTATATTCCTGACCATCGGTGTATGTCCTAGACATTATTTTAACCTTTGAGATATAATTTTGGGTTCATGATACACCTTGGGGTCAACAACAATACACCTGACTTTGAATTGATTCTGGTCGAAGCACCAATGTATCTGTACATGATTTCAATACCATTTTGCTAGGTGACCTTGACTTTCAAGATGTGACCTTGTGTCAAGTAGTGGGTAAACATATAGCAATCAAACATAATTATTCCAAGGCTGGCTGCAGTGAATGAATAAACAATACAATGGTGAAACTGATATGGGCGAAGTTTGGGAGTAAGAAAGTATGGAAACCATGAAGGATTCATTAACTTCTATGCAATGTTGGAAGACAAAGTGTAGTCCCTTTTATAAAATGTACATGTAAATGATATACATCGTGTGAGTCTTTGAACACATAACATGTAACACTTATGTCATCAGCAACAATCATTCATGTCAAGAGCTAAAGAATTAATGTCCAGACATCATTTCATCCTTTTCATCTTGAACAAGAACATACCAAAGTTTGAAGCCATTACAATTGACGATTCAAGAAACATGACTCAAACACGATATATGACAAACAGAAAAGACAAACATAAACACAATCATGCCTTTTTTGTGAGAGACATAATAAGTTCTGAATACTGCTATATGAATAATATTTTAGAAAAAAACATTGTGGCAAATCTTTAAGCATGGTACACGTAATAGTTAAAGTTGAAAAAAAAAACTTAAAACTTACAATGATTTGCAAGGTATTGTAATTTTCTTTCGAATCCAATCTTCAAGTCTCTGAAACATATAAACATATAAGTATGAGACATTAAAAAAAAGCAAATCCATTTCTTAATATTTTTTGAAGAAATTGATGAAGAAGTGTACCCTGTTAGTTTCATTCCCACCAGCAGAATCCTCAAAGTAATCTTCGAGGCTGTCAGGATACCGTAGGTGTCCTACAATCCTAACAAGCCACTCTGGTCTGTTTGATACTGAGTTCTCGTTTGATTCTACAGGTAGAATTCTTTTCCAAAGAGCAGCCGCCAGTTCCATATCTACATGTTGATACACATTTAAAATTCTTTTTATCCTTTCATGTATTTTAATAACAATATAGGTATTTTACAGTTTCAAAGGCCTTTCAGAAATTGACTGTCAAATTCTTTATTCTTAAATTAATTCTTTATCAGGTGTATTTTAACTTTTGAAGACAAACCATGGAATTAATTCAGTCTTATAATTATTAATAAATGGCATGGATAATCATATATTCAGGAAAAACTATAAACTGATTTTCCCATTAAGAATGAAAGATAGCTATATGTGAAATCATCGTAGACTGCTTTCGTTGAAGTTGATAAACTTTAATCAAAATCATTATGAGAAAACCTAATATAACATTACCTACCTTTCCTGCAAGTGGTATCTTCAAAGTAGGACTTGGAGAAACAGGCGACGAAGATTTCGCATTCGGCGATAAGTGCACACTTTTGGTTCTTATTCAAGTCCGATGTAAAATAAACGGTATTATATTTGTACTTGCTGTGCTTCAATTGCTCCCGACATCTCTCTGCCCGATATTTGTCTGTCGAGCTAATCAGCACAATTTCCTTCCTTACTAAATGCAAAAGAACAAATTTTGTTTTGATGGACTAAATAGTAATTTCTATCATTATAATGTTACTCTTTTATCCGTACATGTAAAAATCTTTTATCCGTACATGTTAAAATCTTCAACAGTGCTGATCTTAAATTCTTTTAAGGTCTAGCGATAAGTTCCTCGAATATCATGTTCTGTATCTCTTATATATATACCAAATGTATTTAGTATTATTATCGTTTTATGATTACTTAACTGATTTCAAAATGTCTCAACATAAAACATATTTACCAAAATTGTGATATATTTACATTTCCAAATATTTTTCCTTAAGATTCTTTGCAAATTTGAAAAAGTTCATGTTCTCATGAACTACCGTGGGATGAGTAAGAATATTTCCATTGTGATCTGATTGAAGTCAAAAAATAGTGCAAACTTGTTTTTTTCAAAATTGATCGTTGAATGGCAAAAATATGTGGCAAGTCATCAGAAAAATAATGTAAATATAAGATGTGAATTTAATTTTTGAGAATTCATGAGGTACATGAACTACAACGCTTCAAGCCTGCATATTTGTCATATCATGATGCGCTAACGCGCTTCATGAAATATGCAGGCGTGAAGCGTCGTAGTTCATGAATTCTCAAAAATTAAATTCATCTCTTAAATGAACAATTCAAGTGAGACCAAATCCTCTGAATCTTGCACAAATGTCAAGTAATGTACCTCAGTTTTTATTTAGAGAACTTGTTAAAGTACCAATACTTCAATATGACAAAAATGGAGAAAACTAGATATAACTGAGGAATGTGTCGTCAGACCTTAAACCTGAAAAGATTCTCTGTGTTTATCTTGTTGTTTTCTGTTCCTACATTTAAGCTTTGCTAAAGAGCAAGGTTTCCTGTAACAAAATTTTCAAATCAATACCGATCACAAGCAAGTGATACTATACACGTATCTTAGCCTGGAAATGAAACTTAATACCCCCGTTACTGAAACTGAACCAGGGAAAGCATTGCAGTATACCGCGATACCCTATATATACAATTCCGTTTTTGTTTCGTTCGTATATGAGGCAATGTCTCTTTTTTCTTAACGTCATATTTAATCCCAGATGCAATGAATAGTAACAAATATTAATTTTAATCACATTTATTGTGAAACAATGATTACATTCTAGCTTTTTCGGTAGATTATGACAATCGGAGTCATAAGGTGCTTGATTATATTGCGTCATCTATTTAAAACTCATAGTCTCAATAATGTTTAACCACTACCAAGAACGCATGAGTTATCGCCCTTGCACTGGTATTAAAAGCATTTATCACAATATGGTGATAAATGCAATTAACAAAATTATTCCAAATTACCGACCACATCACTTAAGGCGGCGTCCATTGATTTTTCTTTACAGCTAACTATGGTGGAAAAGACCATCCTTGTAATGTTTAAAAATCTGTTCTTACCTCTTAAAATTTGACAAGCATGCTTTAAAGTCGTTTCCAAGACTACTTTATCCTCTTCATAAGGTAAAACCCACGCCATGTCTAATGAATTTATATCAGACATGTTTACATTTATATTATATGCATGGAATCGTCTCCCCGTGTTTCGAATTAATGTGCGCTCTAAAAAAGAAAAGAAATTTTCAAGTTGGAATCAAATTCCACAGTTAAAATCCTAATGATATTTGGATGCTTACAATTTTTGATGGCAGCATTTTTTTCTTTTGCCTTACTGGGTATTACGTAGAAACGGAAATTGAATTTACAAAGGACTTATCTGAATAACATAAATTCTACACTCTGTGGGTTTATATCTAAAATCAAATGTGATTAATATTTCAATTCTAAGGGGGGGGGGGGGGGGGCATTCATATGTGAAATTAAATATACACACCAGATATGTTCTATCAGTTGGTCTTTAACGATAAATCAAAATCTAGGCTTTTTGTATCATAGACAACCGCTTCTTCAATAAAAAAGGAACTCGGAAATTTTCATATCTGATGTTTGTCAACTACAAAATTACTTTGTAAAAATGAATCACTCTGATTTTACACATAAGTACACTAAAGTTGAAACTAAAAGGATGCTGGGTTCCTCCTTGATAACAGCTTTGTAGTCTTTGAAGACCAGGTCTTCCAACAATCTGTTGGAATACCAAAGGGCACTTATTGAGCTTCTTTGTTAGCATACCTGTTTTTATATTCCTTTGAAGCAGAATTTATTTAAAAAATTCTACAGAAGAGAAAGAAAACACTGGTCTTCAACTCGACATTCACGCATATCGACGACGTTTTACTAATTAACAATAGCTACTTCCATTCATATGTCTACTCTTTAAGTGAAACTTTTTAATGTTTTAAAATTATAAAAAGATGAAATCCTTTTAATTTAAAATATATATACGTAGGGCGTTCAAATAATACGCGCATTTGTTGCAGATATATCCCAGTAAACTCCAAATAAAAGATACCGTCGAGTCTGCCACATCTGTTTCATATTTGGATGTTTCACTGACTATTGACAATATGAAACTTTGCCGATGTCCTTTAGTAATATTTCTGTTACAAAAAGTCGTATAATAAAATATATTTCATTTATTTGTGCCTATTTGTATCTAGTTTACTCGTTAAGGTGAGTGAAACTGCTTATTCCATTGACTCTTAAATAACACTTTAAGATTTAGCAGTGTACGATTTAATGTCTGTATTTGAAATTATAGTTCATGAAGAGTTGATGAAAGTTACGTTGATATTCTAAGTACTAGTATCACGAAGAAAAATCGTCAACGTAAAAGAAAATTTGAAATGCTAATCTCATTATCTTTCATTTAGCCATCTTTTAAATGACGAATTAAAGGAAAATTTGTTGTCACTTTCAAAAATCAATTTTTCCACCAATACTTAACTATAACAAGAGAGATTCTGATTCTTTGTAAGGTACATGGCAAATTAATAAATTGTATTAATGACCTGATGACAATTAAAACAACATGGTCAAAAAACGTATAGGTTAAAAAGTTTCCATAAACAAATATTGAATTTTATTTACCAAATTGGCAGAATTCATCCCCCAAATAGTCACGTGACAAAATAACGAGATGGTTTGTTGCAATGTTGATTTCTTCTGTCACTCGTAGTAGCACTTCCTTGTTGATTTCTGATATCGAGCGGTAATTGCTGATGGAACACTTGACACCACATTTTTGTAAAATTTCGCAAACTTTCTTGGCTTCTGTAGCATTACTGGGATGATTACTGACGTAAATGTACTTTTCATACCCTGTGTAATGTATTAATTTCATCTATGATCAGTAAAAATAAAAGGGGCACTCAAGTTCCATATTCAAAATTCTTTCATTATTGTGATTTTATAATTCATTTGCAATTTCCTACCCTTTGAAGACTGAAACAAAAGTGTTCGTGGAAATATTTCTTAAATTACAACAAATTTCTTTCTGGCATCTACATGTGCGAACCTTGTATAAATTATATGATAATATATAGCAGTCAAGGTTCTACCACTCCAAATAAGCAGACAAAAAGCAAAGAAACGCACAAAATACATTTGAACGGTATAGCAATTTATTTACCTTTTTGATTTCTTCGAAGAGTAAATACTGATGGGCGGTCTACGTCATCAAAGATAAGTAAGTTATTCTGGATGTTCTGCCATTGTTCTATCATTGGGTCAAAGGTTATCAGTGCAAGTTCATTTTGCCGAGAAGATGCTAGCTGATAGTCTGAAACACAGAATATAATTAATTCCCATGACTTGTATAATATCAAGTTTATTTTGTAAACCATGTACATGCATTTCCATACAAGGCTGCTAGATACATTTGTTTTCCATATCATCTCATTCTGATTGGAATAAATAGCGTACTGATAAATATGTTCATTGTTGACATAAAATTTTAAATATGTATCTTCTACGAATTGTTGTACCGTGTCCTCTACTGTGTCGATAACACAATATTTCTATCTGGTAATTTCATCTGTTTTATTTTCCTGACAATAACTACCTCCCCATTTATCCTCATGCAGAAAATAATATATAGTAATGTAAATAAAACTAGTGGTACTGTGAGCACTGAGCTCACTAAATGATACCCCTCGCCTCCCATATGATTATAATGGCAAAGTCCATGTTTTGCTCTCGGAAACCCGAAATAAGTGTCAGATCAAAAAGGAAAATAGGAGGTGGACAATGGCATTATGTATTAAAGAATTTGTGAAAGTATCATTAAATTTTATTCAGTGGTATAGGAGGAGTTGCGGATAAGAGATGGGTACCCTTCAATATTAAAGAAAGAATGGCAGTGTCCATGTTTTTGCTATGGGAAACCCGAAATATGTGTCCGATCAAAAAGTAAAATTAGGAGGTGCACAATGACACTATGTAACAAAGATTCTGTGAAAGTTTCATTAAATTTCATTCAGTGGTATAAGAGGAGTTGCGGATAAGAGATGGGTACCCCAAAGCGTAACAGACGGACGGACGGACATCCCGATCACTATATACCCTCCCACTTTTCAAGCGGGGGGTATAATAAAGGTGTAGCCATAAATTCTGTTTCTGAGTTAAAAAAAAAAATTTTGCCTCCGTTTTATTTTTAGACACAAGTGGGCGAATTTAAGACGGGGCGAATTCATAGAAAACAGTATAATTTCTTAACAGAACCGTGACTGGGCGAATTTAACACAGGGCAAAATTAGTTGCAAGTGTGAAAGGGCGAAAATGTATTGTAAATGCTAACCTTGCTGTTGTTCCTGGCTGGTTGCATATTCTTTTGACAAACACATGAGAACGACCCCATTGCTAAAATTAATATAATCAGCATCTTTCTCAGTCCTCTCATTTCTGCAAGTGACTTCAGCTTTGATGCTATGTAAGCTCTTCAGGAATCTTTTTATATTCCCTTCGTCCCGAGAGTGATAACACAGCAGTATTTTCCTCTTCTCTGCTTTCCCACATACTTAAATACCAAAAAGAGTTTAAAAGAAAACAACTTAATGTGCATTATAATAAGAGAAGGAAGCAATAACTTAAGTCAAATTCATTATCTTCGAAGAAACAAATGTAGCATACATAGGAATGTTAACCAGTTGAGGATGACATCCTCCATTTCTGTTGAGATTCCCTTAAAACTGGGGAGGTCCATGGTCTAGTCTTTGCATGAGAGCTACGCTTCATAGAATCTGAAAACTAGTCAAGATATTTCTGTGTAAACATTTATACCTAAGCATTCCAAAGAACTGCATCGATAGCAACAACAGATTTTACGATACATGTTACTCTACAGACATATTTATCCATGATAACAAATAAATCACTAACTGTTGTACAAAGTCATTAACTATGTCTTTGAATATATTTTCAAAACAAAAAAAAACTACGTTTAATTATTTTTGTACTAATATTTCTGTCATTAACCTATAAATCCAGGCTGGTGCTATTATATCTTAATATTACTTTTGAAAACATCGATGTTTCTAGTATTTCAGTCTGACAGATAGAGTTTTGTCAATTATTATTATTAGTAGAAGTAGTTGTAGTATTTGAACCAAAGATCACTTATGTGGCACTGATCTTTGATTTTAATATTTTTTCTATGTTTACAACCATTCCTTAAAATAAATTAAAAACTACGCAGTTTGGTATCACGACTGCTTTTTCAATAAAAACGGAACTCGGAAATTTTCATATCATGGGATTTGTCATCTTCAAAAATACTTTGTAAAAAAAAAAAGTACTCTGATTCTATACACAAGTACTCTGAAATTGATATTAAAAAGATGCTGGAGTCTCTCATTGACAAAATTTATATAGTCTTTGGAGACCAGGGGCCCGTTTTAGAAAAGAACTTACGACTAAGACCAAAAATTTGAGATAATTGTAAAATCTTGCACGATGGATGTTTCAATTACAATTTGCCAGCATAGATTTATCTTTCTAAATCCTTTTTCAAAAGATTAAAACTATTGTCACGTTAACGAAAAAAGGAGAGTTATTTGCAAAATTACATTTTGGTTTAGTCGTAAGTTCTTTTGTAAAACATGGCCCAGGTCTTACAACAATATGTTGGAATTCTGATCGGCCTTATTGTGCTCCTTTATTAGCCGACCTGTTCTTATGTTCCTATGAAGCCGAATTATTTCAAAAACTTCTACATGAAAAAAAGAAAACTCTTATTGTGGCCTTCAACTCGACATTCAGATATATTGATGACGTTTTATCAATTAATGATAGTTACTTTCATTAATATGTCGACTCGATATATCCCAGTGAACTCGAAATAAAAAACACTAGATTTATTTTACAGATGCACATACAAACTGTTTGACAAACGAGATGACTTCAGCTTTTCCATCGTCAACATTCCTTATTTATGTAGCGAAATTCCATTATCACCTGCATATGGTGTTTATGTCTCCCAACTTATTCGACATTCACGAACATGCTCTAAGTACGATCAAATTTTAAAACCGAGGCAGGCTACTGACAAATAAGCTGATATTTCAAAAACATCGTTAAATGTCAGCATGTCGTATATTCTAGGGTCGTTATATGTTTGCAAATACAACCTTTCATTGGCATTTGGTCGTGTTTTGACTGACATTTCACCAATTTTTAGGTCATTGTATTTGAAACAAAATTTGAGTTCGGATTATTCCGTCCACCTGATTATTACATAGGGCTCACGGGGAAGTGACCGGTCGACAGGGCATGCTTATACTCCTCCTAGACACCTGATCCCACTTCTGGAATTTCCTGGGGTCCGTGTTTTTCTGTCCTGTACACAGATTTGTTTTGTTTGTAGTTTTTTTTAGATCGATCGCTGTTCGTTATCTTCACCCTTGTCATTATTAACATTTTTCAAAACTTTATTTAGTTCACAAGATGAAACACTTCCTTTAAAGTTGGCTTCATGGTGGCTTATAGGTCCTTAATGATGGCTTAATGGTTGTCTTTAGGTCACCATTAAGCACCATTAAGCTATCTTTAAGTAATAAATACATCGCCATTAAGTTACCATTAAGCCATTTCAAAGTCCTAAATGGGTACTTAAAGGTAGCTTAGTGGTGGCTTAATGGTGGCTTATAGCTGCTTAATGGTAGCTTCTAGACAATCAATAAGTCACCATTAAGCCAAACTTATAGGTGCTTAATGTCCAAACTCCATTAAGCTACCATTAAACCACCTTTAAGCCACCATTAAGTCACCATTACGCAGTCGATAAAACTGCTTTTTTATAATGATTTATTCTCACAAATTATAAATGTCGAGTTCACACATTTGTTAATTTGGCAAAAATAATGTAAAAGAAAGAAATGTTTAAAAAGAAAATAAAAAATTAAAATAAAAAAAAACCGGTCCAGTCAGGATTCGATCCCTCGACCTTTGGTTTTTGGGGCGAATGCGTTAACCACTAGGATATCGGGGTTGTTGAAATTTGATGGAAATATAAAACCTTTATTTTTAACAAAATTTGTGTATACTGGAACGTGTATTTTTCAATGTTCATATTTACATCTTTATAATCAATAATATAAATAATTGTAATTATATATATGTTTTAAAAAAAACTTTTATATTACGTTCATATGTCCTACACTGGAGTTCGGTGTAAAACAACTTTTTGATTTATGTCATGATTTCCTCACTCTGTTATTCGCAGTTTTATTAGCATGAAAAGATTGAAATTTAACAGATATAACACAATTTTGTTATTAAAAAGGAATATACGATGGAAAAACAGATTATAGTTCTTTTAAATGCATGTATGCTGCGGATGATTACGGTTTTTTGTATCTAAATAATTGACAATCTTTGCGTAACAGTTTATAAAATATTTTTTAACATATCATCTTCAGTTTTAATTCTTTTTATTTCACAATGGGTATCAAAATAATTGTCTTTTTGCCTAGTATCATAATTTTTAATTTGTTGTATGCGTGCATTTAATTCTAAGTTTGGTAAAAATAATTGATCATCGAAATCTGTCAGTTACGTTGTGTATAGTTTCCTGTTTGCTGACCGGGGACTGGTGGGGACACCTAATTAAGGTCTATTGTCTAACTAGTCGATATACTGAACATTGTTTATTTTACAAGCTTCCTAATGTGTATAAATCTGATCGGCTGTCATGTTTAATCTGATGACTTTTCTTCCTGAAAATCGATTTTGAAATAACAATCATTGAAGATCGACTATATTTTGATTAATTCTTACTTCTGCATTATTTTAAAAGGGAAAAAAACATGGCATTTAACCACGGATTAATCCAAATTATCCATGAAGGAATTCAATGATTGGCAATATAAACTATTATACCTATATATATATATATATATATATATATATATATATATATATATATATATATATATATATATATATATATATATATATATATATCTTAAACATTTCTTTAGCCAAAGAAAAATTAAGAGACTGAGAGATAATATATCTTTTTTTCCAGAAGAAAATGACTCTATATTATGATATTTCCTATGAGTTCGGCAACGGAACCTAGCTCTCCAAACACGAAAGAAAAAAACGTGAATTTTTTTAAAAATCAATATATATTATGTGTTTATGGATAAAAATAATTTTAAAACAAGTTTTAAACAAATTGATTTTGGGTAGCGAAAATTTTAAGGCATTTGCTGAAGCTGTTTTCAGTGCCGAGTTTATACGCATTGGAAAAATGTTAGAAATAGCGCGACAAAATTATGAATTGAATAAGATTTTGCGTAAATGATATTGAAACAACTTTAAACTTAGCAAGTTAGACTTGATAAAGGATGCGTTGAGGTGGTTTAATTAAGTTAGGACTTTATGCCACAATTTAGCTGCAGCTAATGAAGTTTGGACATTAAGCAACTAGAAGCTGCAGCTTAATGGTGGCTTAAAGGAATTAACTTCTATAAGCCATATTAAGCTACCATAAAGCCACCATTAAGCAATTGCTTAAAGATGGTCTTTCGTCCTGTGGTTAATAAACCTTGTACCAAGGAGGAGGACTTGTACAGGCAATCAAGACTGTCTGTTTTCTAATCCCTAAATTTTCCTATTGGAAATAAATTGTGCTCAATTTTTTATATTTTTTTTGCTGTTTTTATTGTGTTTTTTTAAAAAAATAATTTATCGTTGTTCTTTGAACTATAATAGCTTTTTGGTTAAGGATTGCTTAGTGATGGTTGCTCTGCTCCAAATTTGTATCATTTCATTGGACTTTCGAGATTGAATACGGTTCGTTATTTTCATATTTCATTGACAGTCCAAAAACATCGGACGAATAGTAAAAACACAGCTAGCACTGAAACAACACAGCCTCAGGTATGTGTCAAAAATCATCATCAATGAAAATCTTTCTCTCCACTCACGGATATTTAGCACAAATATAATTTCCGTAGGTATAATAAACATAGCCCTTTAACAAACTTATGAAATCCATGGCATCCGGATCCACGATTCAGGCTACATGGTGGGGCAAAGAATCTTCTTTATTTAAGGACATCTAGCTGACAAGTTTTTTCCATGATAAACATTAGAAAAAGCCCTCTATCAACATTTTAGGTCCCTGGTCCATTTTCACGCTGTAGAGAGGGGTTAAGTTGGTCATATATTAAAAATACATTAGATCTTCGAATACCTTCTTCATTTTCTCATGGATATCTAGCAAGTAAATTGTTTACATTATTATAATAAGCAATGTGTTCCCTAAGAAAAATATAAATGTCCTCCAGGATTCGAGCCTCACGGTGAGGCTAAGTTAGCCATATATTGAAATTTACAAAAAAAGTGTACCTTATCTTTACCTCCGAACTTCAAAGAGACAAGCTGCAGGAATATTGTAATGATTTCAGGGTCGTCACCAAACTATTTTTTTTTTGTCACTTGAGTCCAGTTTCCCAGTGGGGTCAAAGTGGCCATAGCTTAGGAAAATCACAAAACTAAGGTGACCGTCAAGGACCTTGGGCCTCTTATAATCCGAAGTTATGATTAAAGACTTTGAGAAATTATGACATCACTTGACCATTTTTGAATAAATGCTGGACCTTGTTCACAATTTTGCATCAGGTAAACATCGATATATTTCAAAGTTCGGCCAAAATCACTCATTACGTACACTCCTTGTTCTTGGATATTAATCTA